ACTCTTTCACCTGAAGCAGGGTGGACGCTTTTTGTTTCTTGTATGCGTCTGTGGTGAGGTCTGCAATTACACTTCTAGCCGCACCTAGCAACAGTTCCTGTCTCGTGCAGTTTGCTTGTGGTTATATTCAGTGTGGGTTTCAAGCAAACCGTTTCTAATACTTACTACAGATACAACAGAAGTCAACGTGGAGAAACAGAAAGATGAGGAGTGCAGTTGCCCCAGGGCCAGTGCGCTCAATGGCTTGGAAGTTATTGAAAGGGAAGGTCCAAATTCATCCCTGGTACCACTCCAGTGAAGCCAGCAGGCTGTGAACTGGCCATGATTTCCAAGGATGTATGTGAGGCTAAGCTGGAGTCGGAGCAGATGACAGGGAATAACAGAAGGAAGCAGGGAAGGAGGAGGATCAGCTGGACGTTTGGGCTGGCTGGTTGGGAACGCACTGTGCGACGAAATGAGTGTGCAAACAAGCAAGCAGCATAGGGGACCTGTGCTAAACAGCGTTAACAACGCAGTGCACTGAGTCGTAGCCTGGGGGTTAAAATCACAGCAACCACTGGCTTGGTGCGAAGCTGCTGCAGAAAAGGCAGAGCAGGCGTTATGGATGAAAAACGAACAACGAGCAAGTCTGTAAGGCCTGAGACAGCGTGCAAAACTGGGGCTCGCTCCACCAGGGCATGATCCCTACCTCGGACACGGTACCGCACGGGAGCACCAGGGAGTGGAAGTGAACGGAGGAACCTGGGCAGAGCTACGTCATGCAAAGGGAGGTCGTAATCACGCAGAAGAGGTCGCTGGGCATAAGCAGGTGGCAAGGCGAGTTCAAGAGACAGCTAGATTTATCCCAGGGGAAAGAGGCGGGGTCTGCGGAGAAAATGGGAAGCTGGGTTTCAAATCCAAGGGGAGGGGGCAGGGACTGGGGTCCAGGTGACTGGCCCCTGTTCTTAGCCCGTCCTGGGGCAGGCTCCCGGGGCACAGCTCCGCAGAAGCCGGGGGAGGGAAGCCGGGCTTGTGCATCGCAGCCGGCCTCTCCTCGGCGTGGGTCTTCTGGTGCGTCAGCAAATTCGACTTCTGGCAGAAGCTCTTCTCGCAGACGGTGCAGGTGAAGGCAATCATTTCCCGGGGGGGTTTTGGTGGGATGTAAGCCGGCGGCGAGGCCTCTCTGCTCCCCACGGACAGCTGCACCAGGTCCCGGGCGTGGATCTGCTGGTGCACCTTGAGATAGCGCAGGGAAGAGAAGCTCTTCCCGCAGTCCCCGCAGATGCTCCGCGACACCCGGGTGTGGATCTTCCGGTGGACTTTGAGGGAGCCCTCGGCCGTGAAGCGCTTCCCGCAGTCCGCGCACGCGTACGGCCGCTCCCCGGTGTGCATGCGCTGGTGGATCTGCAGATACTTGGCCGTGAAGCTCTTCCCGCAGTCGGGGCACGTGAAGAGCCCCTCTCCCTTGTGCGTGCGCTGGTGGATGCGGAGGTAGTCCTTCTGGGCAAAGCTCTCCCCGCACTCGGGGCAGGTGAAGGGCTTCTCCCCGGTGTGGCTGCGCTGGTGCATCTTGAGGTACCGCGTGGTGGCGAAGCTCTTCCCGCAGGTGTCGCAGGCAAAAGGCGCGCCTTCGGCGTGGATCTTCTGGTGGATCTTGAGGTAGCCCTTGGTGGAGAAGCTCTTCCCGCACTGACCGCAGGGGTACGGCGTCTCCCCCGTGTGCAGCCGCTGGTGGATCTTGAGGTACCCTTTGGTGGTGAAGCTCTTCCCGCAGTCGGGGCACGTGAAGGGCGTCTCGCCCGTGTGGACGCGCTGGTGGATCTTCAGCGAGCCCTTGGAGATGAAGCTCTTCTCGCACTCCAGGCAGGCAAATGGGCGCCGGCCCTTGTGCTGCCCCAGGTGGATCTTAAGGTAGCCCTTGGAGGTGAAGCTCTTCGCGCACTCCGGGCACGTGAAGGGACGCTCGCCCGTGTGCTTCCGCAGGTGCACCTTGAGGTCCACTTTGCGGGTGAAGCTCTTCTTACACTCGCTGCACAGAAAGGGGCGTTCGCCCGTGTGCTTGCGCTGGTGCATCTTGAGGTCGCCCTTGGATGGGAAGCGTTTCCCGCAGTCGCCGCAAGGGAAGGGCTTCTCCCCCGTGTGCAGCCGCAGGTGGATCTTCAGGTAGCCGCACTGCGTGAAGCGCTTCTCGCACTCGGGGCAGGCGTACGGCCTCTCGCCTGTGTGGATGCGCAGGTGGATCTTCAGGTCGCCCTTCTGGGAGAAGCACTTCCCGCACTCGCTGCAGGGGAACGGCCTCTCCCGCTTGCGGCTCCGGGGCCGCATCAGCAGCTCGTGTCTCTCCAGGAAGCTCCTCTCGCGCTCCGGCGGGCCGGGGGGTCTCTCTGCCCCTGGGGACTTTTGCGGAGCCAGACTGCTCAGGGGTCTCTCTGGTGGGGTGCATGCAGAGCCTCTCGGTGTGGCCTGCAGTTTGCTAGGGTTTGGGCAGGATTTCGTCTTTGCTGGGCTCTGGGGCACCTTCTCCTTGAGCTTTGCAAGGAAGGGCTGGATGGGCAAGCTTTCCACCTCCTCCTCCCGACTCTTTTCCTCCAGGCTTTCATTTGTCAGCCCATCATCTACTGGAGAGAAAAGGAAAGATCATGTCATGTTATACGGACATAACAAAAGGTATAGCATCTGGCTGGAGAAAAAATCTTTGACTAGCTGCAAACCCCAACGATGTCAAGCGCCCCTGGGAGAAACCCCGCTTGGATCTGAATGGTGATTAGTGTGTGTGGCCAGAAAAGTTGGGCTGGCTGGGCCTTCAGTTGGGCTTATCCAGCCCCCTGCTCAAGGCAGGAGCATCCCTGAATAAACCACCCCAGACACGTGTCTGTCCAACCTGCTCTTGAACATTTCCAGGGACAGAGAGACTCCACCGCTTCTCCAAGTGCCTGTTTTAATACTTGACCACCCTCAGTCAGAAAGTTCCTCCTAACTTCCTCCAATCTGAATTTCTCCTGCTGAGGGCATTGCTCCTAGTCCTGTCCCTTACGGTCAGAGAAAAAGGCCCATCTCCATCCTTTCTGTCATCCCCTGTCACGTATTTGAAGACCATTATCAAATCCCCTCCCCAGTCTTCTCTTCTCCAGACTAAATACCCTTAGCACTTTCATCTTTCCTCATAAGTCTTGCTTCCCAGGCCTCTAGTTATTTTTATTGCTCTGAGCTGGACATTTTGCAAACTGTCCACATCCTTCTTATAAGTGTGAAGCCCAAAACTGGACATAGGACTCCAGGTGAGGCCTCCCCAGTGCTGAATATAGGGGAACCATCATTTTCCTTGATTTGCAAAGGAAACTTCTGTTAACACAACCCAGGATGCAGTTGGGTTTTTTTTGCAACAAGAGCACACTGCTGGCTCATATTTAGCTTATGGTCTACTGTAACGCCCAGGTCCTTCTCCGCTGCACTGCGGCCCAGCTGGTCACTCTCCAGTCTGTGTTGTGCACGCTGTTATTCCATCCCGAGTACAGGACTTTGCACTTATCGTTGTTGAAAGTCATCCGGTTGATTGTAAACCATTTCTCCAGCTCAATCTGCATCTAGCCCTGTCCTCCAGGGTCTGTAACTCCATCCGACTTGCTGTCATCCACAGATTCGCTAAGCCTGCAATCAATCCCATCATCTAAATCATTAATGAAGATGTTACAATTACCGGACTCAGGACAGACCTCTGGGGAACCCCACTTGATCCCTCCTCCTAACTAGATAGCAAGCCATTGAGCACGATGATCCAACCGGTTGTGTATCCACCTTACAATACTTTCACCCAGTCTGTGGGCACATCTACATGCGTGCTTTAATGCGCATTATTAGCCTTTTTTAATGTGCATGAATAAAGCGTCACAAAATACCATTCATTTTCACTAATGAGCATTAAAATAGGCTAATGAACCTTTTCCTAGTACCTCACAATGGAGGTACTACATGTAATGTGCATTAGCAAAAGTGCATTAATGAATGTGTAGATGCACCCTTTATTTTCTTAATTTATTCTTTAAAAATACATGTCGGCTGTGAGTGTTCATACCTCCCATGCTGCTATGGTTTTGCTTGACATCACTGGAGATCAGAGTGTGTTTTAAGTGCTTTCACTGCACGTTTCTTACTGCAATATGTTTATATTTCTTTTAAGTGTAACCTTAGTTCTGAATTTCCTGGGTTCGTAATGCTTGTTTTTTTGGATAACTGCAACATCCCTGCCAGGTTTTTGCCCTTCAATTACTGACCCATACTTTCAACCTTAATTGCATCTTTAGTGGAGTCTGTCTGTTTTGTCTGGGATATTAGCAAAGCTTAGAAATTGGAGAGACATTAACAACAACCTCAAATCTGCTCCCTGCGCTTTCACTCACAAAAGAGCTCGATAATGTGCAATTACAATTATACACTCCCGGCAGAGTGAATCCCACCTCGCTGGTAGGTGACTTGGCTTTTCATGGCCCATGCAGCTGCCAGGAACACAGAAATATCTTTTTACCTAATGAAGTGACCAGCTCGTAGTTCTCCTTCATCACGTCCCAGTACAGCTCCTTCTGCCATTCGACCAGCTCTTTCCATTCTTCTGGCGAGAAATAGACTGCAACGTCCTCGAATGTCACCGGGGCCTGAAATACAAATCTTGACCTCTTTAGCAGCATGGTGCCAGCAGTCCTGACCCTCTCCTGGGAAAGTGGGGTTCAATGCACAGGGAGGATGGCTTACTGCTGATACAAGGGGTCTGCTAGTCACATACCCAGTCTCTACCAGTGGCAGTATCCAGTGCTTCATAGGGACACTTAACAAATTGTAATCCAGAATGATCTGTACATAGTGAAAATGTCTTTGCAACTCCATACCAGCTAGTGATTTGGAGTGAGCTCTGAAGAGGGGAGTAGAGTTTTTTTGCAAGTGTTGTTGCCAGTCTTGGCCATTTTCAAGGGGCCTAGGCCAAACTGTGGCTAAACAGAAGGCCCCAAAACCTGGTTTTGAGCGACCACAGTGTGACACTTTGCAGATGTGACAACGCTTTGTTAGCAAAGCAAAGAAAACCATCCCCATGTCTAACTAAACCAGTAATGAGATACAATTAAACAGAGCACAAGGCCTGAAAGGAGACATTATAAGGGAAGATCCTATATTAAATCATCCAAATACACTATATCATATAGTTTTATCTTAAAATATTTGTAGTAGTGAGTGATGTAACCAAATGTTTTATATGCTGTTTTGCTATAGGTGATATATTTTGGATCAGATGCTTAGATAATTTGTAAAAAAATCCAACCCCCGCCCCCCCAAAAGCCCCCAACTGTGTCAGAGAAACCCATAAACTAATGTAAAGAAGAAGCAGGCCAGTGCTGAACAGCATTCCACCATGGGGAAGGAAAGGAAACTCTCCCTTTTACTTTCCCAAGGATATAAATCCCAACTAACTGACACCTTCCAAGCCCATGAGAGAGCTGGTGCCAAATGTTTCAGTCTCCACCCTTGGAGATTTTGAAGACCCGGCTGGACAAACATTGGCTGGGATGATGTAGTTGGGGCTGGTCCTGCTTGGAGCAGGGGGTTGGACTAGATGTGACCTCCTGAGGTCCCTTCCAGCCCTCATTTTCTATGATACTATGGATCATTTACCAGAATATTAAAACAAGCCATCTACAGATACAGGTTATAGGCTGGAGGGAAATTTGGAGAATTCAACAAATTCAAGAAGACCTGCTGTCAATCTGCGTGCCACCGTCCTCCCACCTTTCAAGTCTCCCCAGGTGGCATAGATGAGAGAATGTGTGTGGTGATGTCATGGGCAGCCAGATAGACTTTGGGATAAATGCTTGCTTTAATGTTTTAAAATGCAAGCACAGAAAGGGTTGGGCTGTAGCCCAGTTTCTGCCACTTCTATCAGTAGCCAACCCAGAGGCTATCTGTAATCTGGGTAACAGTGTATGCGAGCAACTTACCTAAAACACCATTGGATGTTCGCACAACTTTGCAAGTGTTTAAACTTGTCCTGACTTCTGTGAAACTCAAGGTCTTAATGATGCCTGGTGCTAAGGTGTTTCCCAGTGTCGTACATGTCACGGTAACCTGTGTTTCCTTCTCCAGGTTTGCATTGCTGCTGCCTTTCTGCTTCACTAGCTGGACTCTTGCTCTTGGGTTTTACAAGTAGATACCCACTTTACCTTCCTTAGGTCAGGAGCCTCCACAGACAGCTGTGCCCAGATGGCATGAGGCTGGCCATGCCTCTATGTCTGGCCACACCTGCATGGGGGAGGAGAGGAGGGAGGAGGCAGCGCGGTCCCTACTTGTGACCACCTACAGCAATGGTCTGTGGGCCATTTGTCAGGCGTGTTAGCTGTTCTGCTCCTGACTCCTCTGGTTATGTGACTCTGGCTCCAAAACTCAGCCACTACTTTTGGTCTGACTCCGCATGTCCTGGAAGGTAATGCCTTATACTCCTTATTAGCTTATTTACCTCTGGCATGTCCTCTCTGAACTGAATCGTTCTTATCTGTTTTCCTACAAACTCTTTGGCAATCCCTCACAGTCAAGGATGACTGTCTTCCATGATGGTCTTATTTGTGGGTCTCAAGATGGCCGAGGAAGCCGATCTGGGATCCATGCACTCTGTTGCAATTCGGGCACGTGTCTCCATGCCGGTTGCGTGGCTCTGGGTTCTCGGCTCAGTCCACAACAGACTGTTTCTGCCACTCCTGCTTTTCCATCTCCTGTTGTCGTTGTAAGGTTTCAAAGTGCTGAGATCGCTCCAGCAGACTCTTCCTCTATTTGGGGCGGTCCTGGGTGACAGTCTCCCATGAGCTGATGTCAGTAAAGCCTGAAGAAGGGTGTTGGTGCTCAAAAGTTTGCAAAGAACAATTTTCCCAACTAGTTAGTTGGTCTAAGAAAGATATCACCTCTAACAAGATCTCACATCTACTCTAAATAAGAGATCACATCTACCCAAAGAACCTTGCTGCCGATGTCCTTAGACCAACACGGCTACAACCAACAACCCTTGATGTCAATGATGCATTTGTTTCAAGTTGGCCTTGAAGCACTTTCCCAGCCCTCTTTGTGAGCATCCGCCTTGGCTGAGCTGGGAGAATAAAACTTGCTTCGAGAGTCTGGAGTCAGACATCCAGATGACGTGGTCGGCCTAGCAGAGTTGATGTCAGACGATCACCACCTCGATGCTCATGGTGTGTCCTTAGTAGTGGGCACCAATGTTGGTGCATCTGTTTTCCCACTGGATTTGAAGGATCTTCTGCAGGCAAGCTTGATGGTATTTCTCCAATGACTTATTTGTCTTCCTCCATGACATATCACTAGCTTCGGGACCTACAATGTCTTTTTGGGGTGGACCGACAAAAACTGAACTCAAGATTGCAGAACAGGTAAACCACTGACTTCTATAAAGTCATTATAACATTTTCAACATGAATATCATCTAATTCAATCTTCTAACACTGCAAAGACAGTGGATATACTGCAAAGACAGTGGCTCCAGTGGCTCCAAGGACCCAGTGGCTTCCACTGCACTATCACGATAACAGCCAGGTCTTTTTCCAAGTAGTTAAAATTAATTGAGAATCCAAAATGTAAATAAGGAAGAATGATAAGGGACGTTGTTGGGATTTTTTGGGGTGTTGTTTTTGGAAGTCCATGTAAACGATGTAATCCAACTTACTTCAAACAATTCTCTTTCTGACACCTTTGTTTGCCCAGTTACAGACTTATGCTGGAACTCTATTGCTAAATATATAAATATCAATAGAGTCATAACGTTGATAAACATAAAGGTAGCAAATTTGGGGGGTTTCTTAAGTTATGCATCTTTGCAGGGGAGGGGATTTATAAGGTGCTTTGAATAAAAGATTTCCAAGGAAAAAACTTTCTGGAAAGCTGCACAGAGGAGCATGAAAGTGCTAGTGGGGCTTCAGCGTCTGGAGGGACCTCGAGTGATAAAACTGGCCCTGGGTGTTACCCAGGGACAAGTTTCAGCTGAGAAGGTGGAGCTCTTCTTCTCTGGGCAAAGACCTTTGGGAGGGTTATTCCTGGGTATTTGTTAGACTAGAACTGAACTGTGAGATAAGATTTGGGCTTTTTTCTAAATTACCAACATAGCAGCTGGGTTTGAAGAACAAGCCAGGCAGATGGCTCGATGTATTGGAGAGACATATCTGGACTGGTCCAGAAGATCCTGCATTTTTAACGTCTATGGGGAGGGTCTAAATGAGGCTTTGGTTTGCCAACATTTTCCATCGTGGCGACCGCTGTTTCTGCTCCCCTAAGAGCAGCAACGACAGGACCGCCAGGCTAGACATGACGACAAAGTTGTGCAAACACAAGCGGCCGCTGTGGCTGGACTTGTATTCCTGTTGGAGGATATACAGGAAACTTCTGCATGGACAAAACCTACAACCTGAATGTCATGTGCACCTCAAAGCGGTGAGGCCCGGGTGCCGGGCTGCTGTAGAGCAGCCCTTGTATAATCGATGCCCGTTGACACCCGCTGGGGATCTAGCCCCTGTATGACAGCCTGGCAACCCTCGAAGCCGTGCTCCCTCACCCATGCTGCGCTCCCAGGATGAATTGCAGCAGCATCGAGCAACAAAACCAGCGAACAAAACCCCTGCCTGGCCGTGCAGTGTGGGTGAGCGAACGTTGCTATGTGAACGCACGTTCTTCCTCTGCCTTGCTTAACTCTTGCACAGCTACTAGAAATCCCCACCCCCCCGGGCATGTTAAGTCCTGTCTCTTCAGGAAGGCCCTGTCCTGAAAAACGAATGAGCCACCAGTTTTGAAAACAGCCGTCTCAGAAGCATGGAGAAGACAGCTTGTTCCTCCGGAAAATGGAGAGAGATTCTTAAAGTCTCCTGGGGGGTGCCTAGGGGAGCTGGGGATGCGGGACTGGAAATGCACATAGCAATCAAGATGAATCTTGTTTCCTGACTCCCTTGTTGTCTAGCCTTAGCGCAGCGTGGATATGACTAGGCAGAGCATAAAATCAAGCGTGTTCTCCCAGGGTGAAATTCACTGCAGGGCCGGTACGGCTTTGAAGTCCCACTTCAGCCACAAATACTTGCCTTGTATGCAGTGCTGGATTTCATTCCCTCGTCCAGGGAATCATATTATTAGGTAGCTCAGCAATGCAGGGAACTGGGCTGATTTAGTCTGAAAAAAAGGAAACTGAGGGGGATTGACTAGCAGCCTTCAGCTCCCTGCAAGGGGGCTGCAAAGAGGACGGAGCTGGGCTGGTCTCAGTGGGGGGCAGATGGCAGGACAAGGAGCAATGGGCTCTGGCTGCAGCAAGGGAAGTTGAGGCTGGATATTAGGAAAAACTCTCACGAGGAGGGTGGTGAAGCACTGGGACAGGTTACCCAGAGAGGTGGTGGAGTCTCCATCCCTGGAGGTGTTTAAGACCCGGGTAGACAAAGCCTTGGCTGGGATGATGTAGCTGGGGCTGGTCCTGCTTGGAGCAGGGGGGTGGACTAGATGTCACCTCCTGAGCTCCCTTCAACCCTTAACATCTATGATTCTAGGACTGGGAAGTTTCTAAGAGGGAAACTGATGGCCAGTGAGACTATTTTAGTCACAACTTGAAAACTTTATTAGGATGCACAATAACAAAGATTTATTTGGATTAATAAAGACAGTGCTTACATGGCCTTGGATACAAGTGGAAAACAGGTCCACTGTCCAGGCTTCTCTGTCCCCTTAGAGATTTTCACTGATTTAGTTCCTCTTTCTTACTGAACTTTGGAGAAGTCCAAAGTCGCACGGTTTAACCACGCTTATATACTTAACACAGAGCTTTCCCTATTTGGTGATGCTTTTGGAGCTACACCAGTCCTCTTTCATTTTGCACTTAACAGAGTTTTTCCAGATTTCGTTCTGCTTTGGAACAACACCAATCCTTTTCCAGTTCCTTACATTATATTACTGTACCTTATCACTGTCTGCAGTGCATGCTTACTAGGGCTGTGCAAAATTTCGCCGGCTGTTTCATTTCGATGCTGTTTTGACTCATTTCAAGCTCGAAACAGTGAACTTTAAATGAAATGGAGGGCTTCGAAACAACCTTGAAACGAAACGAGGGCAGTCAAAACATTTCGAAAGTTTCAAAACGTTTCGAGTTTCAAAGCTGAA